TGAATGGGAAAACTTATGGCTTTCCTAAGTTACTAAGAATTTGTATTTAAGAATAATATAATTTTAAGAAGAATAATATAATTATAATAGGAAAAAGAAGAATTTTCTTGGTACGTTCTAAGAACTACATTGAATAAAAGAATAGTAATAGAATTGTAATGGGAAATAGAATAATTTTTTGGTACGTTCTATTCTAAGACCTACATTGAACGTAAAAACGAAAATCTTTTAACCGGCGGCCGCTGGGACTACCCCCGACCGCTGGGGGGGGGGGGCATACTCGTATAGCTGCCCCTCACTTTTTCGACGATATCGTCGCAACGTGAAAAGATAGAGAAACGAAACTTTGCACACATGCTCCTGAATATCTAGCTGAGGTTTTGTTGGTGTCGATCCCAATTGAAATTACGTCACAGTGGTGTTAGAAGTCAAATTATAGATTTGCGATTCTCAGTTTCCTCACGATATATCCGATATATGACACCGAATATTAAGGACCAATTATAATGGGTCATTAACCAATAATTATTGGTCTTGACCAATAATTATTGGTCAGGAACTAGTTGCAAGCATACTTAGATGTTTAAGGATGACAGCAGGTGCTGTCTAGTTCATTAACAGTTGAGTTTCATGCTCAGCGACATCAGGAACGGTTCATATCGGAAAACGACAAAAACTTATAACGTCGCTGTGACGTCATCTCAAGTGCTACAAGCACCAAACTTCTCAAACATTGCCTCGGTATTCATTTGAAGCTATGCCAAGTTTCACGTTCGTGACTTTTCAGGTCTCGGAGATATTCCCCAAAACGTAAAGGGGGCAACTAGTTATATGTCCCTCCCCAGCGGCTCGTGGGTTAAAATATTGTGATATATACTTATAAAACTCGTGCACTATTTGCAATCATAAAATAATATGCATGGTAAGTTATGCCCTTCCTGCTGTTGCTACCAACTAGAACTGTGTTTCGCAGCGTGGGCGACTTTGAAACGTTTAGTAAAACTGTAAGGAACGCTACAAGTGCGAATACTGTGCCTATCCTGCGCTCGCCATGCTTGAGGCTAGTGTTAGGCTATGCTAGTTCACAAAAGTCATCACAGGGAATCACAAGAGATGTGTTTCATATATACATGTTTTCCCCATTCCGGTCATGGAATCAAAAAATAGCGTCTGTCTCTGCCGTCCGAGACAGTTTGTGGTCAATTGCACTGATGGCCAATGGCTAGGTCGGGTTCAGGTTAAAAATATCCAGTTTTGAACTGAAAAATCTATTAAAAAAAAGGTTGGTGACAGATGTGAACTGAGCCAAAGCATCCAATGGTGTATTATTGTTAAACAACATCAAGAAGCTGCGAAAAAAATGCATGTGAATGCTGGTCTTCGTAAGTGCCTGAATACAGCAAAATGAGAACAGGAAGGCTTAATATTTTCCCGTTTCATTAAAACGAATAGTTTATATCAGTTTTTTTTTCACAATCAGACACAACGGTAGATATGGTACCCTCTTTTTCTGGGTTATGTCATGCAAAAATGCGTCCCATGGTAAGAATTGCTACGTGACCGCGACTACCTATTTTTTTCTAAGAATCGCAAAGGGAGGGGGTTCTATTCAGTCCAAAAGTCTCGCGAATCGAGCCTTTCAGCAGGTCCTTAGTAACCATTCTTGATGTCAGTCTCTGTCGAATCGTGCTACTCGCTGGGCCCGCCCATATTCGCAGTAAATCATATTCTTTCATTGCCTTTTATGAGGCGTCACGGGCTGCTGGCGACTGGTTGGCAGTGGTCCAGGCAGCTTTTCTGGCTAGCCGCGGAACCGTATCAACACAACACCAAATATCTTTACCTATTCGGCAGCCACAAGCTGTGACTATGATGCATAATGCTGCATTAGCGTTTTATCCATAACATTGTACCTCCTATTTTTACACCTATAGTTAGATAAAGACAATCAGCAATGAAATTAAAGTAAAACTGCAAATGAAGAACAGTTGTGTCATGTTACACGACTTGTTTGCCATGCACTCGTTTATTTGTGTCCCCATTTTCGAAACAAAAACGTTTGATCTGCGTGTGGAGGCAAATACATAGAAGCTGGATAAATCCGGATCTCTGAGCGATGTATCTCGCTGATCATTCGTAGCACAATGGGCGACGTAGCTGTCTGGAGAAGCTAACTAAGGTTAGAGTGTCTTCTTAAACATACATGAATAACGCACTGCACATTGAATAACAGGGTCTAATGCGGATAAGCGTTTTAGCTAACAGGGCGTTTCAGTTAGGTCATCTCGCTCAGATCACCATCTGTCGCAGGGGGTGCGTATACTTTGTTCATCTGTGGGCCACACTGGGCCACCCATAAGGCGACAGCTTCTGTCTCTAACCCCCATCACGCAAGGGCGCACACAAGGGGGGGGGCACACGGGCCCGTGCCCCCCCCCATTCGAGTTGGGGGGGCCCAACTCGAAGGAAGGGGCCCATTTGAGGCGGCCGAAGGCCGCCTCAAATGGGCCTCTAACTAATCCTTAGACCACCGAAGACCGTGTACAAAGGGCCCTCAAATGGCCTTAAAGGGCCCTCAGATGGTCTCAAAAAGCCCTCAGATGGCCTCGAAGGACCCTCAGTTAGCGCCATAGGACCCTCATCTGGTGTCAAAGGGCCCTTAGATGGTGTCAAAGGGCCCTCTGATGGCCTTAAGGAGCCCTCAGATGACCTCAAAGGACTCTCAGATGGCCTTAAAGGGCCCTCAGATAGCCTCAAAGGGCCCTCAGCTAACGTCAAACGGACGTCAGAAGGCCTTAAAGGGTGTAAAAGGTCCCTGAGCTGGCGTCAGAGGGCCATGCCCTTGCGTCGAACGGCTCTCCGAAGGCTCTAAAGAGTCCTTTGCTGATGACAGAGGGCCCCCAGCTGGTGCCAGATGGCCCCCAGCTGGCGCCAAATGGCCATCAGAAGGTCTCAAACGGTCCTCAGCTGGCGTCAAGCGGCCCTCAAAAAGCCTCAATGGGCCCTTAGAAAACCTCAAGGGGCCCTTAGAAGATCTCAAGGGCCCTCAGAAGGCCTTAAAGAGCGTCAAAGGGCCTTGAGCTAGCGTCAGAGGGCCCCCAGCTAATGCCAGAGGGCCCTGAGCTAGCGTCAAACTTAAAGTGCCCTTAGCTGGTGTCAGAGGGCCCCAGTTGGTGTCAGAGGGTCATCCATTGGCGTCTAATGGCCATCAGAAGGCCCAAAAACACGATCCTCAGCTGGCGTCCAACGGTCCTCAGCTGACGTCAAGAGGCCCTCAAAAGGCCTCAAAGGCCCCTCGACTGCTCAAAGGGCCCTTAGAAGGCCTCAATGGGAACTCAAGAGACGTTAAACGGCCCTCAAAAGGCTTGAAAGGGCCCCCTGCTGATGGCAAAGGGCTCGCACCTGAGTCAATACTCGTAAGAGCCTTGTCAAAAAACGGACCTGAGAAACCTTGCCGGCCCTTCTGCGGGACTCCTACACTTACCTGAGAGGCCCCCGTTTACTGAGGGGCCCTGGTTATTGATGGGGTTCCTCGTTACTTAACGCCTGGTTACCAGAGGGGCCTATGGTTACCTGGTGGGCCCCTGATCAATTGAAAACCCCTGGTCATCTGAAACGCCCCTGATTACCTAAAGGGCCCCTAATCACTTGGATTCAGTGACATAGCAAGGGAGCGAGGGGGTACGTGCCCGTTCTCGGGTTTAGGGTTCCTTCAAAACCGAGGGGCCCTGCGGCGCCAGTTGGTAGCAGAGGGTTCGCGCTGGCCGCACTTCAACTCGGAAGGACACCACAGGGCTTGTGGGGGCACGTTATTGGCTCCTATGTAGCCACAATTATCTTCATAAAGGCCCAATGCCGGTTTCTGAGAGACCTCGCCGGCCGCTCAGGGCCCTAGTAACGGCCAACGAGGGATTGGCTGCTATGGCTCCACATCCGTCTGTGATAGACACACGGTCCACACCAGTGTTTCTAAAGGCACCCACAACGGCAACTGCGAGGCCCCTCGCCCCACCTCCAAGAGACCCCCACCAGCGCATCTTAAGGGCCTACATCGGCGGCTCTGAGAGTCCCCACACCGACGCCTCTGAGGGCCACGTACCAGTGACTCCGAGGGCCTCTTACCAGCCTCCGAGTGTCCTTGCCAGCCTATGACGGACCACTTTCCACTTGCAGGCCATTTTGCAGGGCCACACACATGCCAATGATGGCCCCACCAGTGTCTCTAAGCCCTAAGACCCCGCAACGGCGCCTGTGAGGACCCAACACCAGAGCATCTGACGGCCTTTCACTGGCACCTCTGAGCGCGCCACACACCGGTGACTCTGAGGAGCTCGCTCGCTTCGCTCGCTCGTAAAATACCATGTAAATTAGGCATTAGTGTACATTAGGCACACTCCTCGGGCATAAATGATACTTTCGCTTGCCGATTTTCCACATTTTCTCATGCAAAGACCGTTTTAAAGAGACCCGTCTGCCAGTGAGACTGGACCCACCGTGCCTTCCTCCTCCCATCGAAAGGTCCTGAATACATCCTTGCCTGAGCTGACCCCGGGCCACCGGGTGACTCGCGGTCCCGGGGTCCGCGAAAAAAAGCTAAAAAAACATGCTATAGCGTAAAAATATATATGTTTTGAAAATTAAGCTGGTACCGAAATAATTGTTTTACCTACCAAACCAATTGCTCAAGCTTCAAACCAACCGAAATATAGCCCCGTGGGCCGTATTTTTTTTTTTTGGGGGGGGGGGCCTTCGGCATGGGGGGCCCAGTTCGAAGGTCGTGCCCCCCCCCCATTCAAAAATCCTGTGTGCGCGCCTGCCATCACGCCGCCATTATCTCCCCATCTCACCGCCTCTGACCGCATCCCTGCTGTTTCTGGCCGGCGCGGGGTTTCACCGTCGGCTAACCTTTTCTAAGCCTTGTCTCGCTGTCTCTGACAGGCCTCTCGCCGCCTCTGACCCGCTGCTCGCCGCCGGTCCGTTCGCAGGTGACCCCGGCCGAGACGAGGCGTCATGTCTGGCGGCGAGGCGTCCATCACGGGCCGGACGGCGCCCGAGCTGAACGCCTCGGCCGCGCCGCTCGACGACGAGCGCGAGCTGGGCGAGACGGTGGCCGCCACGGCCCTGCTGCTGGCCATCATCCTGGTCACCATCGTCGGCAACTCGCTGGTCATCATCTCGGTGTTCACCTACCGGCCGCTGCGCTCCGTGCAGAACTTCTTCGTGGTCTCGCTGGCGGTGGCCGACCTGACGGTGGCGCTGTTCGTGCTGCCGCTAAACGTGGCCTACCGGCTGCTGAACCAGTGGCTGCTGGGCAGCTACCTGTGCCAGATGTGGCTCACCTGCGACATCCTCTGCTGCACCAGCTCCATCCTCAACCTGTGCGTCATCGCGCTGGACCGCTACTGGGCCATCACCGACCCCATCAACTACGCCCAGAAGCGCACCATCCGGCGCGTGAACACGATGATCGCGGCTGTGTGGGCGCTGAGCCTGGTCATCAGCGTGCCGCCGCTGCTCGGCTGGAACGACTGGCCGGCCCAGTTCACCGAGGACACGCCCTGCACGCTCACCCAGGAGCGGCTGTTCGTCGTCTACTCCTCCAGCGGCAGCTTCTTCATCCCGCTCATTATCATGTCGGTCGTCTACGCCAAGATCTTCTTCGCCACCAAGCGGCGACTGCGCGAGCGCACGCGCAAGCTGGGCACGCTGGCGGTGCCGGCGCCGCCGCAGCGGACCAGCTCCCGGCCGCTGGCCGAGCTCGAGTCGGTCGCTAGTCAGGAGGACGAGACCGAGCCATCTCCGGAGCCCGAGCCGCTGTCCAGCCGCGCAGACAAGCCCGCCAACGGCATCAGCGTCCACCAGTTCATCGAGGAGAAGCAGCGCATCTCGCTCTCCAAGGAGCGCAAGGCGGCGCGCGTGCTGGGCGTCATCATGGGCGTGTTTGTCGTCTGCTGGCTGCCCTTCTTCCTGATGTACGCGATCGTGCCGTTCTGCACCAACTGCGCGCCGCCCAGTCAGCGCGTGGTCGACTTCGTCACCTGGCTCGGCTACGTCAACTCCAGCCTCAATCCGATCATCTATACTATTTACAACAAGGACTTTCGCACCGCCTTCAGCAGACTGCTGCGCTGTGATCGGCGAATGAGCTGAAGAGGTTTGATGGTAACCCAAACACATGTCAGTTGACTGCTGTCAGTACTGGGCAGACGTCAACCGATAAAACTGATCGACAGACATGGGCGATGCTATGAGATACAATATTATAGTGCAATGACACTGATAGCTAGAGTTAGATGAGTTTATTCATCAGTTAGGTGAAATGACCAGGAAAGGCATGCTGGGTCCCGTGACCGACGCCAAAAGTAAGACACACACTAATTTAGCTACCAATGAAATGCCAATACGTGAAAATAAACATTGAAAGTGTTGTTATGTACTGTGCTGTTGGTGTCAAAGAGACGTCGATCCCGAGAAAGACGGACATGTGTCTCCGAGGTGTGTACTTGTGCGTGTCATTAACTCCTGCATTGCTCGGAAAGGTGAATGTACAGGGAACCGACCACATAGCTGTCCGTATAGGGCCGGCGTGTTCGGGCGAGTGTAATGAGAAGCGTACCTGAGATCACTCACGGTCAGTTATGTACGTACAGGTCTCGCGGGTTTTAGCGGTAGGTTTTGCACCTAGAAAATTTAGTGTACTTCAGGCTATATCTTCGTCGTCTTAAGCTTTTAAGTGTTGAACATGCGATCGACTTGTTGGGTAACAAGCCGGCCATGATCGTGTAAAATGGCTTCATCGTAGATCGATTAGTTTCTGAGATATAACCGGAAATGTAAAAGTGCAAAACCTACCGTTTAATCTCGCAAGACCTGTACGCTGGTGTGCACGTTGAGCACAGCACAACTGCGTCGCACATTAACCGCTGCGTACTCGGCAGCTTGCTGGTACAGTGGCATGCTGTCGTGTGTTAACAGACACACACCGGAGCTAGAAACATTCGTTTATGACTGTCAACGTGACTGTGACGCATTGTGCTCTCTGTGATATGTGATTGATCTTGGAGTGCATGTATTTAGTTTGTGCGTATCTTTTATGTTTTTATTCAAAATGCTCATTGACCACTTTGTCACCCGTGTTTTCCTGCTCTGCCCTTCCTTTTTCCCCGTCTTAGCAGGCGCCGACACATTAATTTTTGTAAATCAATAATAGCTGTTTTCTAATGCAAAAATATTTGCGTACCTTCAGCGCCGAAAAACGTTCACGGATCATATCAGTTACAGTCGATGTCGAGCTGCTTGTTTGCTTTAAGTGTTGGTATAGTGCACTCGTGATGTGTTTCAAAGTGTTAAGATGTGGTAGATATTTAAATTATAAAATTAAGGCAAGAGAATAACAATATTTTCATGTTTAAATGTATGTCTTTTATGTCCATCTGTCTCAATTGTTGGAGCAATTGTGATAGTTATACCATGTTTTAAGTGTTGCTTGTCGCTAGTGCATGTGTTTACAATTATTTCATCCTCATTTTGAAATTAGGGGACTAAATCCTGAGCCCTACTGATCCTAAATATGCCATGATATTTGATATGAGTTGGCTTTTTAGGATCAAAATAGCTTTGTGGACGGCAGACGCCTCATCACACCTTGTTGATGCTCATGAAGGCCTCCCAGTCCACAAGGTGAAGACTTAGTCCCCTACTTTCCAAATGTTATCGTATGAGCATAGGCAGGTGTATAAAGGCTCACGTGTTATGCTTTACATTAAAACGCTAGACTTCATGATTTGAATTCCGAGCTCTCGGCAATGGTTTAACTGTAAACTGCTGTAACATGCATAGGCAGTAGGCACTGTCTATTCCTATTGCATTCCATCATCGTGCATGTTACGTATTTTCGTGGTCTGGATGCTTTCGATGAAACCAGTTGCTGATGACAGGAAATACATACATTTCGTTACCTTAGGTTGGGCTTTCTCTCTGCTGGCATACCACTCACTTTTCAATGATTACGGAGCGAGCGAAGCAAGCGTAGTCTTCCGTAGATTAACCCTCGCTGGCCGAGGGGGGGAGCGGGTGCCCCCCATAGGGTTTTTTCGCGATAGCTCCAAGCACGCTGGCGATAGAGAGCTGAAACCTGGCATACCTGACCTTTTGATTCAAGCCGGATATTTTGACACCAACCCCATTTTCGGGTCAGGTCAGGTCACTGACCTATGACGTCATAAGTGAACCTCTGCACGGTCTTCAGATGTCGTAACTTCGCAACGTCCTCACTGCCAGAGGAGCTTTCACAGGGAAATGAAACTTGCAGGATCTAGTATCCATTACGAGTCTCACAATTTGTATATCTCGGATTTTTCCTAAAGGTCATATGAGGTAAGGTCATTTTCGTGACCTCACCATTATAAGTCAATGGGGAAACATAAAAACTGCTATTCTGGCGCCGGGAACGATCTCCAAACTATCTCAAGCACACAGAATCGTAATTTAATGCACTCCTTGCAAGGTTAGATGCGTCACTTTTGCAATGTTGACCTTGCGTGACGTCATTTATGACGTCAAGGTCATATTAGTTTTTCGTCAATAACTCCCGATCAAATTGAGCTAGCGAGTCGGGAAAGCCACCACTGGACTCAGGAAGACCTGCCGAATCGAATGATATGCGACATGACCTCTTTCGATTAACTTCGTGACCTGGGGGCGCTGACCTGACCGTGACCTGAGGTCAACACCCTAAGTTGGCCTGACCCAAACAAAAGGTATATCATTCGACTCGCCTGAGTGAGGCGAATACGACGCTGCCAAAATCGCGGCTCTGCGGCCGCTTTTTGCGAAGTTATTCACAAAAAAACTGAACCGTACCTTGGGGCACTTGACCTGGCCTCAGAGGTCACCGGTTAACCTAGGACCTTAAAATCGGGTACCAATCTCTGCGTCTCGTAACGGCGCATACGCTTGTTTTTTCCGCGATGCGCTAGCTTCACCAGGGGCGAAACGGCGAGGGGGGTCGCACCCCCCCCCCCGTCGGCCGGCGCGTATGTGGAAAACCAATAGGTCCGGCGAGGGTTAACGGAAATTTCTGAGTATGAGCGGCCGGCCGGCCGTGCGGACGATTATGCGAGGCTTATATCTCAGCAATCACTTGACCGTTTTACATGCGGTAATTTTTGTAGGGTAGCTATATTCCTTCTACCAAGTATTGGACTATTCCCGATACATGTGGGTGTGGGTATTATGCGCGTGCCACGTGCAAAACGAAGAGGTGTCAGTTTTGTAGCAATTGCAATATCTCGGTAACTAACACGTGACACGTGAATCCTTATCCAACCAATCCAGTTGGCCAGTGTCATACACTGTTCAATGTGTGATCCCAAATGATATTCAATTTAAACGGAACGGAACGGAACGGAACTACTGGGCCGATTGCACTGAAAAATGGCATGTAGGTAGGCACCCACTAGGCAACGCATATCCATGTGCCACAGTTGGGGTGATGCTGCACGTGCGCACATGCAGGGGTCGATTCCAGATCTCGAGAGCGGCTACGCCAATTGCGATCAGTTTGGCACATCGCTAGGGACCGGTTAGTAGGGTGCAGTGCACAAATTAGTTGGAGGTACCGTCTCGCAATGTCGCACGTGCAAGGCCCACCCTCTCGCTCGCTCCGTTGGTCGTCCCAACAGGCGCTTTAGGTACTGTTTTTAGTAAACTCGACAAAACATAAAATCAAATTGTGGCATTTTGGTTTCTTTATGTAAATTAAAAGTGTATTTAGGGCCTTGAATCAATGACGAATTACATACTTTTTCCAGCTGTATCGTTTGTTCACATTACCAGCAAATCAAATGCACTTTTCCGCGGCGCAATTGCTCTTTTCGTTCCCATGCGATGCGCCGATTTGAAGAAAAAATGACTGAACTGGCGAAATTTGACATGTGATGACATTTGGACAATGGGCATTTGAATTGACCTAAGCAACGGCAAGCGAATTTTTCACAGCCTTTTGACATTCTGTCTAGCGCTGCCTGCCGTGTATCGCTACGTGACCCAGGAGCCTTAGTTAACCCGGCAGGTGGTGGGCCTACCGGCCACCTTCCGCGGGGGGGGGGGGCATTTTTCCCCCCCCCCCCGTATCTCCGAAACTACTGAACGGATCTGGAAAATTCAAACGGTGTTCGATAGTCCTGTCAAATTTGTCGAAGGAAACCAAAGTTCATTGAACTCGGGGTCACCGATGACGTCACAGGTCAGGTCAAAGATAAAATGTTTCACCGTTCACGGGGCTTCTAGGGAAAGCGCTATAACACCGAGTAAAACGCATTTCGTCGAAAATCAGCGATAGGGCGTCAGTGGTATAGTACATATGTTGCTATTAGAGGTCACTGGTCATATCAGGACAGGTCACAGGTCAGGTCACCAAAGGTCACCAAGGGTCACCACATGAACCCAACTTTACTAAGGTTGTGCGATGCATGTTTTATGGCCAGTTTTTTATTTCCAACTCAATGGTGTTGGTTATAAGACCATCAGGTACGGTTTAGGTCACTTTCTGGTGGAGGTCAGGTCAAGGTCAGGTCAAAAAGGTCAAATCTCAAAGTTGATATGTTTGCATAAAATGGGTATTGATTCGATGCAGCTCGTCACGGGGAGTCTGGTGGCCTTTGTTTTGCGCTACGAGGTCTAGAATTGCTAAAAATTGAGTTTGAAAATTTGACGTCATCACTTTTGAACAGTTTTTTCGCTATAACTTGGCAAAAAAAGAGGTGTCGATCTCAAATTTGGTGTGTAGGGGAAGCCGGGGGAAGCCCGGCATAGTAAGCTCTTTTTCATTTTGTGACATACCTTGCGTGATGCATAAAATGTTGATATCCTGTTAGCTAGATTAGTTAATTGCCCGTGTTGTCCCAAAAACTTAGTTTTGTGGAAATAGCCATGGAAATAGTATAAGGTTGCGAAATTCAAATTTTAAAAAAGTATTAATTTTTCTGTGGTAAGCCAGTCACAGGGGTAACGCCGGCCACCTCTCCAGCGCATTACAACGAGTTGATGAAACCATTATGTGTCTTCCAAATATTGACGGAAAGTGAAATATTAACCCTCGCTGGCCGAGGGGGGGGGGGGGTGCCGCCCCCCATAGGGTTTTTCACGATAGCTCCGAACACGCTGGCGATAGATAGCTGAAACTTGGCATGCCTGACCTTTGATTCAAGCCGGATCTTTTGACACCAACCGCATTTTTGGGTCAGGTCAGGTCACTGACCTATGACGTCATAAGTGAACCTCTGCACGGTCTTCAGATGTCGCAACTTCGCAACGCCCTCACTGCCAGAGGAGATGTCACAGGGAAA